AGTTATTTTTCATTTAATTGTACTAACAATTAGATAACAAAAACATAACTAGGTCTAAAAAGAATAAGTAAAATCCGAACCAGAGTTCTCGTGATTGAACTGCAGGTTGAGAATCCCTAACCCAAAAACTTGAAATCCAACATGATTTTCAGTAAGTTTCAGATTACGAATGCTCAGATAGTAAACCTTTGCAAATCGTCTAAAGTCTGAAAAACCTAGAAACCTGAAACATTTCTGGTTTACAGCATCTGAGTAGGGCTATTCAGCCTGTAAATGTATTCTCACTCTGAATTCTGTCACTCGGAAGGCTTTAGCTATGCTATTTTTGGATCTTTAGTTGGTAGGCAGTAGAATTCTAGTGACATGTTTTTGCAAAAACAAGTATCATCCTTCCCAATTAAAGATCAAATTAAGTAAGAAGACTGGGATTTTCAGAATTCAAAGAAAGGAGTATGATATATCCAGAGCACTTCTATTTCCTATCTACTGTAATGAAATTATTTTATGTAATGGGAAATTTAAGAGCCTAAAAAAAATAACCCAAAGACTTATGAGTGAAATTGCAAGGATTATACCACATGTTGATTATCACTTATTAAAATAGCATAGTTAATCTGTGTATGACTTATGTTTGTCAACCCTAAGCAGATTCAGGGTTGTAAGAGTTTTATACATAATTTCTGAATAATCAAGAAAACTTGGCTTGGTCTGTGATATACAATTGCAATCCTAGGATCAGGGAGCTGGAGAAAGGAGGATTGAGAATTTGAAGCCAGCTATATAACAATACACTGTCTCAAAAAAGAAAACTCTAACTATGTGTAAGAGAACAGATAAGATTTTTAATTACAAATACTTGTCATTCTAGGATATCTCAAGAGTTACATATTAAAGTCTCTCTATTACTGAAAAATGAGTACAATTTTCTTTGCTTCATTGTAAAGTGATTAACAATATAATTATCAATCCTCATTGTCTTATCTAACATTGTAGTAACCTGATCTTAAAACAGACTAAATATAACATAAAACTTTATGTCTTTATCTTTTGTAGTTATTGATTTCAGTGTTTAAGAAAGAAATCCTAAACTGAGCACAGTGGTTCATGCCTGTAATTCCACCTACTTGGGAGGAAGAAATAGGGTTGTGGTTTGAGGCCAGCCTAGGCAAAAAGTTAGTGAGATCCTATCTCAAAGAACAAGTGGGGCCCAGCAATGCATGCTTGCTATCCCAGCTGCATGGAAAGCAGAGGTAGAAGGATTGAAACCACAAGACCCTGTAACTTAATGGGCAGGAGTGGGGTTCAAATGGTAAAGCATTTTCCAAGTCTGAATTCAAACCCCAGTACTGCAAAAAAAAAAAAAAATAAAAAAAAAAAAAAATCACAAAATGAAAAGATTTGTCTTTCTGTAAGCCTTTCCCAATTTCCCCAAGGCAGAGCAAGTTATTCTTGTTTTCTATAGTACCACAATACTGTGCTCAAACATTTGTTAAGATATAATTTGTACTATAATTTTTAGCATTAATGATACTGTACTGAAACTATATTATGTCTCTAGTTGGTGAGCTCCTTCAAGGCATGAAACCTGACTTCTTCCATTCCTCCCTTCTTCAACACACACCTGTTTAAAAGCTTCCCAAATCCAGGCCATGTGATATCTAGGGCACAGAAAGCAAATAAACAAGAACCTTGCCTCATGGAACTCAGTCCTGTAGGAATGCTGGCTAAGAGAAGCCATGGTGTAGATAAGCCTGAGGTGGTACTAGATTAGTCGTCGCTATTCCAGACTGGAGATGGTATCATTCCAAGTTAACAGAGAGTCACAACAGTCATTTTGTCTTCTCTATATCCCTCAGCCTGGCAATGTCTCACCTACATTGATTGTCCGACAAGCTATTTTTAATGAATGAATAATTCTGGAGTTGGTACAAGTCTTGAAGTAAGACAATCTGCAAATCTCCAGAGGCAGAAGGTATAATCATCTAACCTTTGCTAGCAATTAAATGGAGCCATTAAATCCTAGTCATGTCAACTCAACCGTCTCTTACTCTTTATCTCCTTGTCACATAAAGCCTTGTTATTAGTAGTTATCTGACAAAAGTATGAAGCTTAAACATTTGGAACTCAGACAAATGTGAACATTGACCCAGCATCATAGCTCTATTTCCATGTTCTTGGAGCTATAATTAGTCTTAAAAGCAGACTGTCCTGTGGGATCAGGGTTCATTTCATGATCTAATAAACTAAAATTTTAATATTTAAGCTTAAAATTAAAGAAAAAAATCCCCACAGTTGTTAAGCTTCACTATACTCTAAGTTTCAAGACTGTATATTTTACTGTTTTTATTCATGTTAAAAAATGTTGGTTCTGGTCCTATTTAATTCATAGTGAGGAATTATGGCAAGAGGAGTCTGAGTGATCTTAAGTAGTATAAAATACAGTTGTGAGACAGGCAGTGACATTACAAAAGAACTATGAAACATTGCACTGTGCAACCTATGGCAAAATACTAGTAATATACTCACATTAGGTTTGTGGAAAAAACTATCATATAATCAGGGTATGCAATTCCTTGAGCCAAACATGTTAAGGGCAGTCCACCCTTACTCCCTGGAAGTTAGCTGGCTGAAATCACAATAGATGGCTATATAGCGAATAAATCTCTTACCCCACAACTCCTGCTAGTGCAGAGAAAGAAGAAAGCTGGCCTTGCATCAGAACTAGCAGTTCACAAAGTAGAAATGCTTTCCTTCAACCTGCGCATTTCTTATTCTCATAAGAATCCATGTGACAACTTTTCTTCTTCTGCCAGGCATAAAGGAATGGTACTGTTCTCTACAAGCCTGGCTATTGCCTAGCTGTTTCCTAGAAACATGAATTTCCTAATGGAGTAAATAAAAATGTACGTAAAGGGGAATGAGATGACAACTTCACCTTTCAAATTTGTATTTGAAACAGCAGTAAAGCTTATAAGCTAAAATGAAATCACTAAGGCACTACACTAACTAGTTTATAGGTTTTTATAACCTGTATAATGTCTTTTGAATCCAACATGTTAAGTACCAAAAAATAAGTGAAAAATTTTAAACAAATGTATAAACTTAGAATTCCTATTTCATATTTTCCATCTTATTAAGTTCCTAACAAAAATATCCTTGACACTACAAGTCTGTTTTTTGACACTATGTATTTATGAAAATGAAAGAAATAATTAAGGTTGTATTTTAGTTAAGGATAATATAAAGTTGAATATGTTATAGAAGAAAATAGGCATAATTTCTATAATCCTTTATCTATAACAGGTAGTATTTACTGACCACTTACTACATACCAGACATTATTCTGAGAACTTCAAATACATGAATAGAACATATATTTAATATATTTAAGTATAAATATATCATTTTTTTAAGTGAAAAAAATTCTGTAGGCTCTGGAAAATGGACATAAACATATATCAATTACACAAGACTCCAATTTTACAGAGTATTATAAAATGAATTAATCTATTGTCTTCATTCACAAATACTATACAATGGTACATTACTGGTATTAGAGAGAGAGTAGGGATCAACATAGAAAGAGTTCCTATTCTCACAGAAGCTACAACAGACAAATAGTTACATAAGATAGATAATTTCAGTGACAGTAAGAAGGAAAAAAACAAAGGAAAAGGAAGGCATAACAGTTTAGTGTTGTGTTCTTCGGGCTGGATGGTCAGAGAAAGTGGCTCATATCTAGAACACATTCAAAAGTTCAACTCTGCTGTGTAGTACCTCGACCTGGGACAGATAATGAAATAAACTCTTGGAAAATTTATTTACTTTCAATCCCCACCATCATTTGTACAGTTACTCCCAAAAACTTAATCCACAGCTGTGCTTTTTTTGGATTCCTACCAAGATCCTTACTTCATGCTCATGTGAATAAACTCAGTGTCAGTATTGGGAAAATTTTTGCTCTCATATACTCACAACCATTTTGGAATGAGTGCTTCAAATTTTTCTTTATTATCTGTCACATACATTATCATTCTTTTTTAGAAAGCAGTTAAGTATGTATCAAGAATGTAATTTACAATTTAAACCTGAAATAGCATTAAAGCTAAAAAAAAAAAAAAAACCCTCACACTTCTTATGAAAAGAAGTGAAGGTGACAATCCAAATGTCAAATCACATATTCTATGTCTGGTTTTGTTAGTTATTTTCAAGAGGACGGATTTGATAAGAAAAGATAGCAACTTAATAAAACATGCCTTCATTAAAAAAACATTTTTATCAAACACTTAAAGGAAATACCCAAGACAAAAAAGTTACACTTTTACACAACTTGTTTAGGTACTAAAAATTCTGGCTAAATTTCCTCTGCCAGCTTATGAAGAATTACAGTATGATTTTTGTTTTGTTTTATAGAGCTGTGTAATTCTTGTTAAAACATTTTGTTGTACACAAAAAATTAAAGACTTAGATTCAACATTTATCAAGAACCTCCTTTGTGACCGCCCAGATGTTTCCTCCCTGTTGCCCTTACAACTTATATATTGCTCTTTGAACAGACATTGGGGCTCCTGTGCCATCTGGTCAGAGCCCACTGCTCTTTTTTTTGTGGAGCCTGAACTTTCTTTTTCTTTCCAATAAAACTCTACTGAAGTTTTGCAGTCTGAAAAAAAAAAAAAAGAACCTCCTTTGTGCAACAACTCTGCTAAGTGCTTAGAACTGCATTCTTTCATTTACCTCCTAAAATAAGCATTCACCTTAAGAAAAGTGAAGTTAACAACTTACGCTAGGTCACAAATCTAGCTGTAGTAAACAAGAACCACCCTGATTCAAATCTAGGACTTTACAGACTAAGGATTAGGATTTTTTCACAACCACTATCTATCTACTGTGTCTTTTTCTTAAGTACACCTTAAAATGATGCTTGTGATACTAATTTCTACAATCTCAAATTTGGCTAAAAGAGTTTGCATATGACTGATAGAAAACATATTTTTACCTACCAACATGTTCTCTGAAGTGTCAGAATGCCTTTTGGGCAAAAAATGCTGGAAGTAAAGTTCAGGCAAAATTTGTTCTCTTTTCCATCTACTCTCTTCACCTGTTTGGTCATCAGCAGGCTCTAGTGTACCTGAGAAGCCAACAACGTCAGTTTAAAACCAAGGACTAAAATCAGCTAATCATTCAAGAAGAATGAGGCAAAATTGAATAAATTAGGGTACAGCGTGACTCTGAAACCTAGAATGTGAACGAACTATAAACCATCTCTAGGAACAGAAGTGGAGTAATTATGAATCTGAAAAAGGACACAGAGCACTAGAAGCAGGAAAAGTTTATGCATCTGTATCTAAGAACTGAACAACAATATAAGAGGGACTAACAGTGGAAGAAAGCATGATGAGCTCAAGGTCTGTAAGACCCTCTCACCTGTGATCCTAGCTACTCAGGAGGCAGAGATCAGGAGGATCCAGGTTTGAAGCCAGCTGGGATAAATAGTTCATAAAACCCTATCTCGAAAAAAAAAACCCAGCATTACCAAAAGAAAAAAAGACAATGACAGCCAAATGTTTTTGATACATCATTCTTAGCTCTATGACAATAATTTCTATTTCTGCTGTTGTCTGCAATTGATTTTACTGTCTCATGTGCCCTTTAAAAGTGGTTTCTGGGACTGGTGGAATGACTCAAGTGATAGAGTACCTGCTGAGCAAGTGCGAGACCCAGAGTTCAAACCTCAAACCCCAGTACCACCATCAAAAAAAAAAAAAAAAAAAGTGTTTTCTGTTTACCTTCAATACCTTTCCTCACCTGCTGTACATTAACTTTTGCGGGGAATATCTAAATCATTTCCACTGTAATACATGAAAACTAAAGTGAAACAATAAAAAATTAAAAAAAAAATCTCAGAGTCCTTACTTTTTTTTTTTTTTTTTTGAGACAGGATCTTGCTAGATAGCCCAGGCTGGCCTGCAACTCTTGGTCCTCTAAGTGCTGGGATTATACACATGTACCAACATGCCTAGCTTCAGAATATACTTTATGAAGACATTACAAATGCATGTTACTGTATAATATACTGCTAATCACTAGCCTAAATTATGCAATTTTTCTTTCTACCTCCATATGAAGTTATAATGCTTACAAATAGCTCCCTACTAGTACTGTGCAATAGAACTGTGACAATCAATAGAAACATTCTATATCCACACTGTCTTCTGTACATTGGCCACCAGTCTCATGTTAACTACTGAGCACCTGAAATACAGCTAATGCAATGGAGCTTTCAATTTTAATTAATTTTCATTAAAAGATTCACACATGGTTCATAGCTACTCTAGCTATTTCAGCTCTACACAAACAGAAATCACAGGATTTATTTATACTAAGGATGGCTTAAACACTTCATAACATAGCATAAAAACATACACAATGAGTTGATAAAATAACTTATATTGGAAAGAAAAAAACTACCTAACTTGCCTAATTAAATGAGCACGAAGAGCTCCACACTTTCATTTATAAGGGTAGCATCATTATGGCTTCCAAAAATGAGTATATTAGATAAATCAAGTCTTATCTTTTGGTAAAAATTTGTCAATCAGTAGTTCAATTGATAATATACCTGTTAAGTGTATTCTTTTAGATATTGTAATCCTTAGGTTTTCCATGCTTAAGGTGATTAGGTTTATCATTGCCAGAATACCATAAGGTATATAATAGTTTACCGGAGATATCTGTAGTGTGGTTATTTCTGAGGAGAAATACAGGAATTTTGATAAGGGAGATCATCTCCAGAAGGAGACTGCTTACAGATTTTTGAGATTATTTTATTTGGAGAAGAGCTTCTGCAACTTTGAGGTTAAAAAGCAGCTAAAATAGAAGATTACTGGTATTAATAGCTGGTGCATGGAAGCAATCCAAGTGATCCTGGACAGAAGAACAGCTCTGTATACATATAATAGAATACTAGAGGAAATGCTGACCTAGGCTATAACATGGGTCAAGCCCAAGGACATTATGCTAAGTAAAATAATCTAGTCATGAAAAGATAAATACTGTAACAACTTCACTTATATGAGGTGCTTTCAGTAGTCAATGCCAGGCAGACAAAAATACAATGGTAGTTGCCATTGGCTGAAAAGAGAGCAATAGTGAGTTACAATTTAATATTACAGATTTTCAGTTTTACAAGAGGAAAAATGGCCTTTTGTTTGTTGTGGTACTAGGGTCTTGAATTTAGGATGTCACCCTTGTTAGGCAGACATTCTATTACTTGAGTCATGCCACCACTGATTTTTTTTTTTTTGCTTTCCTTATGTTTTTCAGACAGGTCTTAAACTTTTTGCCCAAGGCTGGCCTCTGGATCACAATCCTGCTAACTATACCTTCTACATAGCTGGGAGTATAGTTGTGACACAATAGCTGGTTGGTTGGTTGAACTACGGTCTTCCTAACTTTTTGCCCAGGCTAGACTCAAATGACTGCTACAATCTCAACCTTCCAATTAGTTGGGATTACAGACGTGAGTCACACCTAGCCTCATAAAAAGTTCTGAAGATTGATGTTGGTGATTTCAAGGCATTATGAATGTGTTTAATAATACTGAACTGTATACATAAAATGGGTAAGATGGCGAATTTTATGTTGCAAGTATTTTATCACAATTTTTAAATTGGAAAAACATTAGTGATTTTAAGAACTATTGTTATTAGGAAATATGCTCTGAACTTGAGTGGCTATCATGTCAAAACCTTCCAATTTTTTTTCTTTTATCCCACCTACCTTTATTTCCTGCTGTACAACCCCCCCTCCCTCTCTCCTGTTATTCATCTGTTTTTGCTCCCATCTCTATAAACCACTGCATAGCACACACAATTTCAACTCTTCCAGATCTGTATGTTGTGGTTTAAGTGAGAGTATCCTTTCAAAATTCATGTTTAAACTTAATGCCCAATGCAACAGTGTTAAGAGATATGGCCTTTTGGAGGTGATCAGTACCCTTATAGCAGGGATAAAGGATGAAGAGAGGAGTCCTGGATGTGAGGACACCTGCTGGAACCTTGGCCATAGGCTTCTTGACTTGAGAACTGTGAGAAATTTCTCCTCTTTACAAGTTACCCATTCTATGGCACTTTCTTATAGAGGCACAAATCGACCAAGACTTGTTCTTTCTATTCCACTGTACACCCTGCAGAACCTCCAACTTGACTCTCTGCTCACTTCTTTGTAACTCAATGAACCATAAGAATATTATAAAATATTCACATATATAATATTAAAGATTAGGAGTAACTTTAGAAACTACATAGTATAAGCCTTAATTTTTACAAATGAACAAAATGAGACACTGAGATTAAGTGATTTATTCAATGTCATAAACCTAGACAGTAATAGTGCCAACAAATTCTAAAATGGTGATCTAATTCCTTGTACAAAATATTCCTTTATTTTTTATCAGACCGAGAGATATATTCCACTTTTGTCGTATTTCTGCTCTCTTCCATCTTATTTTCTAAGAGTAGGGCTCTCAATTAACAAACCACCTTAAATTAATGGTTCTCCGTCCTAGGTACACGTTACAATCATTGTGGGCATTTTTTTTTTTTTTTGCTGGTGGGGGGGGAGAAAGGTGGAGCAGGTAGATAGTGATGATTAAAACATGAAAATTAAACTTCTAAAAGTGGTAAGATGAAGTGAGTCATTGAAACTGATAATACTGATCGCCAGTTCTAATCTGGTTTTATGTTGGCTTAAATGGATTGTATTCAGATTACTTAAACACTCAGTAGAAGATTCCCACTTTTTTTTTTTTTTTTGGTGTTACTGGGGATTAACCCAAGCCTTTTACATGCTATGTAAGTGCTCTACCATTTGAACCACACCCCCAGCCCTTTTGTTTGCATTTTGTTTTAAGATAAGGTCTTGCTAACTTTGCCCAGGCTGGCCTTGAACTTGTGATCCTCCTGCCTCTGCCTTCTAAGTAGCTGGGGTTACAGGCATCTGCCACCATGCCCAGTGGATTCATAGAAGATCTTGAAGGTGAGATTTCTAATAAGGTCATTAATATCAAGAAAATAAAGAATATCTATTTATATTTGTTGCAAATCTGCTAAAGTTACAAGGTACAGGGAACACTAAATTAGTAAGTCACAGTCATTTTACTCAAGCAACATGTAAGATTCAGGCCTAAAGGCTTGAACTCAATCAGAATAGATCTGGAATGAGGAACAGATATCTTTATTTTTAAGAACCTTCTTGGATTTAAATCCCCAGCACTGCAAAAAAACCACACACACACACTCCCAACAGAAACAAAAAACCCTTTGCAGTAAATTCAAATGTGCATAGACTTAAAAAGCACTAATTTGGCTAGGGGCATGGCTCAAATGATAGAGTGCCTACCTAGCAAGTCAAGGCCCTGAGTTCAAACCCCAGTACCTAGGGGAAAAAAAAAAAAAAAAGCACTAACTTAACCAATAAGATGCTAAGAATTCCATTAAGTTTTAGTAAGTTCTAAATGAACAGAGAAAGAACAGTCGAAAATAAAATTTAACCTGCTTAAGAGGAAGTATTAAAGAATGTGACTATTTTGAATCAAAGATTCAGTCCTGTTGGGACCAAGTGTTGCAAGCTATGAATGTGCTCCACATTAATACTATAAAATGAGAAAGTGCAAAATAGAATAAGCAGGCACTAACTCAATCACTTAATAAAACAATGCTAACCATATCCTTTCCTTTCCAGACATGCCATTATAACTAAAATAACTGTTTTAAACACATGATAATAATGCTTCAACTCTAAAACGATGTGAACTGAACTTAAGGCTAAGATGTAAAGGTATTTGATAAAAATTTTTATAAAGGTAATTATGACCTAAAAAGAGATTCTATAAAATGTGTATGTATTTTCTAATCCTTCAATTGGACTCCTTCACATTGAAGCAGTGAGTTGACAAGATGACAGGGAGTGAACTGTTAATTATGAAGATTTAAGAGAAAGAAACAGAAAAGGCACAGAAAAACACAATGCACTGATTTAGAAGGCAGAGCTCTCTAACCAAGCCAGGTGCTGGTGGCTCATGCTTATAATCCTAGCAGGAGGCAGAGATCAGGAGAATCGTGGTTCAAA